GCTTAGTCATTACTGCTTTAACATCAGAAGGACATAATCAGTAATGAAAGGAGCTAGAAGAATGTGAGCTTAAGTGACTTTAAACTATATCATTGGTTGTTTCAATAGTTCACACAGTAGATACAAAAAACATGAGAAACTTAACATAATTGTATCAATAGTTCATACAATAGGTCAAACAGCATGAAAAACTAAACAAAGTTGTATTTATAGTAACCGTAGTTTCAACGACACTGATTATAGTTGTATTCATGATTGATAGCTGTATGACAAATTAAACTAGTTAAAACAGTAGTTTTAACAGCATGAGAAACTAAACATAGTTGTATTAAAAGTTTGCACAGTAGTTCCAACAGCAACTAAATATAGGTGTTTTAATAGTTTCCATGGCAGATCCAACCAGGGCTCAAATTTAACTTTTTTGGCCACTAGCAATTTTTTATATATATATATAAAGTGATTTTCCTGACAAGCGTATTCCATTTTTTCTTCAACTCGCAAAAAATTGCGAGTAGTCATGAATCTAACTCGCAAAATCATTTTTCAACTAGCATTTTGCGAGTCATCGTAGGATACCCACGATTGATAAACATGTCACATAACATGCAATCAACCGTGGGTAAAATGAATCGATTTGCGTCGATATACAGCAACAGGTGCGTAAAATATCTACCAATGACATCGCGTTTAACAAATCCATATTCTTCAGCAGCGGAGGTAAAAAATAATAAGAAACAAAATGGCAGCGCCCACGGTTAAATACTGTTGCACGTGTTTTGCTAAAATCAATGTCAAAAACTATCGCCAAATCAGTTCTTCTGCAAGCAGATATCAATCAGAAAGGAAAACATCACGCTGTAAAAGTAAATTATCTATACTTTCTTGCTGAAATCGTTTAATTTTTTGATGTTGAACTTTTCACGTCGTCTATGGTTGTCGCAGTATTGTTTGTAATACCGAACGTCGTACAGAACGAGCGTTTTGATTGGTTTTAATCGCCTCATGAAATCGTGAGGCAGCCAATGAAATAGCTGCCTTTGACACACCCCTAATCGACTGAATATCGGCAAAAAATCCCACGGCAGATAAATGTTAATGGTTCGGCCGTGGGTATCCGACGATGTTTGCGGGTTTGCGAGTGTTAAATTCGAGCCCTGCCAACAGCATTAGAACAACCAGATTTCTTTTCTTAACTTCTTTGTCCAGAATGTTGTTCTCATATTTTTCAACTGAAATCTAATGAGTAACTAGGATCTTGTTTTAAGATCTACATATAAAATTTCCAACTGTGGTGATGATATTTGCTGAGAAACATTAAAAAATAAAAAATACAAAACACAAGTTAATTTTTTTTCCTGCCTGAAATACTCTAGTACTGCTCTCATTTTTGCAACTCACAACTGCAATGAAAAGCATATTATTTCTACACATTGAAGAGCTGGAAATAGGCACTCAATGTCATAGCATGAAAAACATTTGCTTTTCTATTCTTACTGAATTATCTTACGCACATCCTCTTTTATAAATCAATCTTAATTACTTTAATGCATTATTTCACTTTGTAAATTTTATATTGATGAGTCATATAGTAATGATTAATAAGGATTAGAGTATAAAATTTAAGAGTTGCAGTTCTGGAACATATTATTTCTTATCAATTGTCCATTACAAAGTATTAATTACCAGAGTCAGTGGTATCTTTAACAACAACACATTGTTATCTTTCTTATTATCCTTGCAAACAATGAATGAATGTACCCAAGTACTTCTTGAGCTGTTTTTTTAAAAAAAAAACATTTTCAGATGGACAAGGTACAAACACTCTATGCCCCCTGCCCACATTATTATGTAGCTGGGACATAAAACTTTCTACAAGTAGTACTTGAAGGCTTCATACAATCACTGCCATATTTAATTACCTCTTTCCAGTTTTCAAGGGCTTCTCCTTTTGACTTTATCGCGTATGCATATGAAATAAAAAAGCCCTAGTCTTATTTTAATGAGAAATATGAAGAAATGGTCAATAAATGGAATGCTTTCTGATCGGAAAGATATGACTTTGTCTGTGTTTATTTCTTGGAAATATCCAATTTGTTTCCTTTGAAACTGAGACCATCTTGTCATTTTCTGTGCTGTTGGTCAAAGTTAGTTGTACACATTTAGAAGGAGTATGTATGAGCCAAAGCCTGTGTAGAACTGCAGATACTTTGGGTTAATTGCAAAACGTTGCAGACCAAACCTGCCAATACCTTTTATATATTAGATGTTCTTGTTGATCTATGTGTTGTGAGACAACTTTTAATTTTTCTTTAGATGAAAATTCCCTTTCAGGCCCTAAGTAGTCATGAAATACTCACAGTGGAGTCATGATTCCTCCATGTTTCCCTCTTCACCATCTCTGAAGTAAAAACAAAATGTTTCAAGTTGGCTGAAAAAAAAACTTAAAGCATGGTGGTAGCAACAGTTTCTACCTGCCCGACCAGTGCAGACCAAGATGAGCTGGTACATTATGACATCTGATCATAATCTGTTCGCTGTTAATTTTTGATTACCTCCTAAATTAGTGATCAATGGTCCTGCCCAGATTGAAAAAATGTGACATAAGTGAGGTTTAATGAGTAGTTCATTAACACATTTGGCATAATAAGGAATATCTTTATTAAAAGTGTAATTTTATATTGAACATTGTTGGCATGGTACTTGTAAGAACTTACTCAAGTGTCAAGTGGATTTAAGCATGGAGTTGGGAGCTTCCAGGAAGGTGTCTCAATGCTCTAATCAAATACAAATGGAAAGGCTTTCTTGCTGAGGAATCGGATTCCTGTCCATGTTCTTACAAAATCAGTGTCTGCGAAATGAGCTGAAAAAAAACCTTGGTGTGTGGTTAAATCTGCAAATAAAAATAAAATAGAAATAATTGGATAAAAATACTGCCGTGTCTTTAAAGATTATAAAATCTGAAAATGGTACGTGATTGTTACAGTATAATTATGCCAGATATTTAAGATAAATACCTGAAAAAATCCTCCCTCGTTTCTTTGGGTTTTCACCAACCATATCTTCTTTATAAATATATCATTTGGAAAGCTATGAAATGAAAAACTTTTATCATATCTTTAGTCATTTGCGCACTTCGGAAGGCAGCAGTGATACAACGCCATATTTTTCTGTTAGTCTTAAAAGCCTAGTTTTCAATCCAAAATGGTCTACTAGTGATATTGGACTTTTGATCTTAAAAACAAAGAATAAATTTGTCATCATGTATTTTCGTTTACAATAATTTGTATTGAAACTATATGTACATAATTCAGTTGAGACTATTTTTTCTCTGCAATTTCTATTCACTCAAATTAAGTGATGCATTATGAAACAATAATTTAATAACCTTTACACCTAATGTGAAATATTCTTGTATTTTTCATCAAGGGCCCTCTCACCAGGACATATCTATTTGTTAGTATACCAAATAAAAAGCAACAGATCATAGTTCTAGAAAAAAGTCATGGTTATTTAAGCATCACTTTACTTTTGCTTTATATAAAAGTACAAATAAAATTGAGGTTTCTGGAAAATCATTGACCATAAAAGGACAAGTTTCAGGTGTATTAACAAGCATAAGCGCACTAACGACCAGATAGACTGAAGAAAATTGAAACTATCTGATGGAGATTTGATGCTTTTGAGGAAGTAAATATATACCTGTATGGTTCCTACCAATATCTGAGCTTTGCTGGGATACTGCATCTGCTTATTCCTGTAGGAAAGAAACAGTTTTCTTTCTTCCAGCCTTTCTTTTCAGTATAAAATATATGACTGTGTTAATGAAATTGTAATGTGTCGGGTAGTGTTCCTATAATTTGTTGAATTTGTCTTGAAAGTTCATCATTTCTCATTCTCTCTATGCTTAGGTAGTCTCTTATTTCATCTGGGGTCACTGGAACTTGCTGCTGAAGAAAGTAATTATTGTCTGTCTCTTTCAAAATGTCCATTTTCTTAGAGCTTTCTGCATACTAGTCTATTAACTTTTCATCTAAGACATGCCTATGCAATGTTTATGATCTCCAGTCTTCATAAGGTATCCAGTTCTTCTAAAAGCTGACTGTAATATTTGAACTGTTTTCTCAATATCAACATAATCTGAATGCACTGCCTTCTAATCCTATGCCAAACAAGGTGCACTTGTTTTTCTTAATCTTCTCCAGAACTGAATTGTTTCTGCAAACTGTCTGCCATTTCATCTGTAGGCACCCATTTTAGTATCCAGGATTTCAAGTTTTTGTTGTTTTTTTCCTTGTGTACAAAATCAAAATCCTGGCATGTTGATGTATTTCCACTTGTTGTATTGAGGAATATAGGTCATCTATTGTGCACACTTCTCTTGGTATGAGAATATCCTGCAGAGTACTTTGGATGTGACCTTCCATGAAATAACTCTTTTGTCATAAACTTTGCACTTTTAAGAACACTGGAGTTAATTCTTCTTACAGCCATCCTAAAATTTATGATACCCTGTGAAATCCAGTCCTGCAAACTTCGTCCATTAGATACTTCTGTCTTCATATCAGGATTCTGTGTTTTATAATGTTCATTAGAGTATTTGAAGAAACCTTTTGCATTGGGCTTCTCACCATTCAATAAGCAGTGTCAAACATATGGCAGTACTAGTTCCCTTAGTGAACAGTCAACTCTGATGGAATATTTGCAAGATACTCCATCTTTACAAGATTTAGCATACAATTTTGCTGCATTTGATACAAAACTCATCCTTTCTTCTTATGTCTCAGAAAATGGTACCCAGCTCAATGAAAGACTTGATTAGGTCCATTTCATATTGTCCAGTTCTGATTTAGAAAAAAAATCATATTCAAACAAAAGACATGAAGTCAGGGTGATCTGTTTCACCATGAAACAAAAGTCAGTCCTTAGAAATTTCTGAACACAGCGGAGACAAATCACTGGTTCTTTCTTTAACTTCTTGCATATCATATCGATGGCTCAGCGCAATACTGGTCTAAGTGACATTTTTTCACAAAATCACTTTTTTTCATTTTTTTATTCAAATACATGAAATACATATTCTGTAAAAATATTAGGGTTAAATTTCAATTTTTTAACAACTTAAACCCAATAAATTTATTAAGACCATCTCATGATGTAAGTTTTCATATTTGCAGCAAAAGTCTATCATGAGTTAGACCTCTATTGCACTAAATAGTTTACAGATGTTTAAGTCTAACTTGAGTTGGACTTGTACTGCACTACAAATTTGCACTGTACATATTTGCATTCTTCAGTTGGACCTGTATTTGACTATTATAACTTCATGTATAATGAAATATTGATTTTTTAAACTTAAATTATGACATCATTGATGTGACCAGTGATGTCATATGTGTATAATCAGTAATGTAATATGAATGATGTCATCTGCTTGACCATAATATTATACAGAAAAAAACATCTAAAAGCAAACATATCATAATATTATACAGCAAAAAACATCTAGGAGCAAACATAAGGTAAGATTAAGTTTATTTTTTTTTATTAAAGACATATAAATGCTAAGAGATAAAGTCTTTTTGGTTACATGTACATGTTTACAAAGTTCAAAGTACACTGATGCTTCAATATACTGGTATAATGAAGTTTAAACTGTTAATGCTACACTGGTTAACTTAATATTGCTTAGTAACAAAAATGATTTTCTATCTATTAAAACTAAATAATAGTTAATTTTTCAAAAGTATACAAAAGCATTAATCTATAATAATATTGTATTACTAAACTAAGATTTTTAAAAATATTTAAATGCGATTTTGGCTCAAATTCTATATTTTGTCACACTTCTTTCAATATGAATTAGCACAATTATAAATTAACACATAAATTAGGCTTCACATTTGAATTTCTTAGTTTAATAAAGAAAACAAACTTTTTAACACTAATGTGCAGTCTCATAATAATTCACTTTTCATCAGTTCCCACATTTTTTCTTATAGGAATATGGCAACAATGATTGGCTCATTCCATCAAGGGCACTTTAAGTTTAAAGGTGCTGGAAAACAGTGTGTTTGTAATAGTCTCGTGGCAATGTTATATTCAAAGGAACTTTGCCCAAAAAAATGGAAAACCTCTGATATAGATACTTTACTTGAAGAAGGCGATAAAATGTATATGTTGATTCATGGCAGAAATGAGCATGACCACTTGCTTATATCAGATATTCCAAAAAATGTCCATTACAAAAAAGAAGTCTACAACATGCATATTCATCAAGTTTGGAGTGGTACAATGGACAGAGTTACAAGTCAAAAACCATTCATGTCACTTGAAGACTCGATCAAAAGCATTCAATCATTTTGTTTCTTTACAATTGGCTGTTATACAACTGCAATTATGAACAATGGAGATGATCTTTACTTATTTGACCCTCATAGCCGAAATGAAATGGGCATGAGTTGCCCAGAGGGACAGGCAATTCTATCATGCCATAAAAATGTAGAAAGTCTCTGTTTATTTTTAAGGCATCTATCAGCAACAATATATAGAGAAAAATCTGTTGTTTTTGAATCAACTCATGTTGATTTCTGTTGCGATAGTGAAAGTGATGTAGCGTCAAGTGATTTTGATGGGTTTTCAACTGTAACAGATGGTGAATATACCTGCATTCTATACATGGCAAATGAAAATATGAAGGTCAAAATGCAACAAATTGACGTTGAAAATGAAAGTGTTTCTAGTATTGAAAAAAATTCTGTAAGTGATGATTCCGAAGTTTTATCGTGTGAAAATACTAGTCCTGAAGAGTTTTTTGTAGCTGAAAAGATTAATTTGCCCTCAAGTGAAGGAAATATTAGCAAAGATAGTGCTGAATTTAACATCAATTTAAATGATTCTTTTGTTGATAGAGTTATACAGGAAGGTTTAATGAATGAAAGCAATGATTTCACAATGAACTTTGACTTGTTAAACTTCTCTGATGATGATAATGTACCTCTAAGTTCTGTAAAACAAAAAATTTCCAAAAACAAAATTCTAACTGAAGATGATGTACCTCTAAGTTCTTTGAAACAAAACACTGCAAAAAATAAAATTCTTACTGAAGATGATGTACCTCTAAGTTCTTTGAAACAAAACACTGCCAAAAACAAAATTCAAACTGAAGGTGAAATACCTCTCACATCAATAAAACAAAAAAATGCCGAAAACCAAAATCTAGCTTCAGGTGATGTCCAAAACCAGAATCTATCTGAAGATGATGAACACAAAAATGAACATATTGGACATAATAACAGAGGTAAAACATCTGATGAAACTGTAGAACATCTTCAAGAAACTGAAAATAGTACAAGTATGAATGAAGTATCTGATAAGGAGGAATATAGGGGAAGGAAGCGGTTAAGAAAGGAGAGTTTATGGAAGAGAACTTTAGCTAAGAAAAAAAGAAACTCGGGCAGTCAATACAAAAGTCTGAATAGTGGAAAATTTGTTAGAGCTAGGTTACTGAAAAGGGGTTGCAGTTTTTCATGCAGATACAAATGTCATAAAAAAATACCCGAGTCGCAACGCCAAAAGATATTTCATGAATTCTGGGCACTTGGTGATATAAACAGGCAAAGAGATTACATTTCTAGTTGGGTATGCGTAAACCCAAAAAAATCTAGAACAAATTTGACAAGATCCCCCAAAAGAAATTTATCAAGAAAATGGCAGTTTAAAATTGATGGCCAGTTTGTAACTGTATGTAAAACATTCTTCCTAGACACTCTAGATATAAGTCACACAGCTGTTGATACAGCTTTAAAAAAAGGTTGTATCAAGGAGAACAATACATCCGGTATAGCATCACCAGACAAAAGAGGCAGGCATGAAAATAGATACAATAAAACCCCAGAAATACAGATTGGCCATGTAAAATCACATATCAAAAGTTTCCCCAAAGTTGACTCCCATTACTGTAGAAAACATTCCTTAAAATCCTATTTGGAACCTGGATTATCAGTCCCAAAAATGTACCAGTTGTATTTGCAAGATTGTGGAAAGAAAGATTTAGTTCCCGTCTCCCTGAGTGTGTATAGAAATATATTTGACCACCACTTTAACATTGGTTTTTTCAAACCTATAAAAGATAGGTGTGACTTTTGTTCTCGATATAACAATTCTTCAGAGAAAGAGAAGGCAAACATGGTTAAAGAATATGAAGTTCATATACAGAATAAAAATCTTATGAGAGATTCAAAAGAAACCGATAAAGCCAGAGCAAAGCACGAAAGCAATGTATGTGTTGCATGTTTCGACCTTCAGCAGGTTCTCCCTACTCCCCATAGCAACGAATCTATTATGTATTACACCCGCAAACTTTGTACATTTAACCTGTCTGTTTATGACCTTGGCACCAAAGATGGTTCCTGCTACATTTGGCATGAGGCAATTGCTGGCAGAGGTTCGAATGAGATTGCCTCTTGCATGTTCAAATACTTGAGAAGTCAGTCTTTTATTGGAAAAAGAGAAGTTATCTTATATTCCGACAGTTGTGGGGGCCAAAATAAAAATAGAAATTTCTTAACAATGCTAAGTTATGCAAAAAAGAAATATAAGTTTGAAAAATTGCAGCACAAATTTTTGGAACGTGGACATACACAGAATGAAAATGATTCAATTCATGCAAGTATTGAACGTAAAAGCAAAAACATTTCCATTTTTACGACTCCACAATGGGCTGCAGTTATAAAGGCTGCCAGAAGTAAACCCTATCATGTTTATGAATTAGACACAAATGATTTTTTAAACTTTAAAATCATGTCTGAGTCAGTACCAAACCTAGATTTGGATGTTGATGGACAAAAAATCATGTGGCAAAAGATCAAGGTAATAACACTTGAAAAACAAGATAGTAACATTATTGAAGTCCAGTACAGTGACAATTCTTCTGTTGTGATCAACCTTGCGGTGAGGGTAACCAGTA